GGTAACTACAAATTAGAGCATAATTCTTATACATTCCCCAAAAACTAAGCCCGTTTATTTAAATTATTGGATGCAAACTATTAGTGCTTCAACAGACCAGGAAGCAGATTTCTCATCTCCATCAAAATATTTATTTTATATCGAGAGGCTTAAAAGTTTAATCAAATCCAGTCAAAAGAAACTTCTTATCGTAGAAATGGAGGAAGATATGCTGAGTTTGGAAGTAGAGAACAAACATAAAAGCCAATTTTGTTTGATCCCATCAACAGCGGTTTAAAAGAGCTTGGTTTGTTGTTGCAGTGCTGCCTTCCACCAGCAGGTGGCTGTAAAGATTCTCAACTCAAACTTAAAAATGGGCAATTTTGGAGGAACAACCTGCTCAGATTTTTATGTTCTGAACAAAGGGAACCTGACTGGACTGTAGCTCAGGTTGGTGACTAAAACAAGCAGCCAAAAACCTGAACTTTTTCTGCAGTGAGTTTAAGAAAGTTTGTAAAAATCCATTTTTATTGCTGTTACAAAGATTTCAGATTTTAGAAGAGCTTTAAATTAGTGCTGTGAGGACAGCAGGAAAACCTCAGCACTGTTTATCTCTGTTGTTGACGCACTTAGGTTTACATTTATGCAGCGTGCAGTTTGTGCATAAAGCAACGCTGCCAAGCAGGCACGTACAGAGTGGCAAGTTTAAAGCGGTTATGGGTCAAGTCAGAGGCGGGAATTACCCCACAGCTTACTTATCCTTGTTGTTGTGGCCCAGATCCACACCTGCAGTCATAGCTGTGCTACTGCAGGGGCTGATAGAAAACACAGAGGACCGATGACCTCGAAGCCAGATCATCTCATTGGTTTTTAGCGGGGCCGCCGTCTCTGAAACTGTTTTTCTAAAACTGCTAAAAACAGTGTGGGTGGTTACCGTGGCATCTGTGGTTTTCTGTTGGTACAAGTAGTTGAACAATATGTACGATGGAAGTTCATACGTGATCAAAAGGAAATGATCAGCAGCAATGATTCGGTTTGTTTTTGTTTGGGTTTTTTATTTTTCATCTTTGTTTGAAGGATGTTTTCAATTACACTGCAAAAAATAAGTATATTCAAGTCCATTTTGCTTGAAATTATTGCATTTTCCCTTAATTTGGGAAGTTAAGCAAAAACGTTTGCCTGAGGAAGATTGTTTAGATTAAAAATAAGAAAAAAAACACCAACTCTATTATTTTATTTCATTGTATAATATCTGTTTATCTTATTTAGAAGCAGAAATAGTCTTTCCATTGGGAGATCATCTTATTTTCCCGCTCAAATTAAGGTCAAATCTGCTCATTTTAAGACATTTTTGCTTTTTTTTTATCAGTTTTTGCTGTGCAGGGTCGTAGCTTTCTGGGTCTTAGACAAAACATAACGGTAGGAACAGTTTGTGGTCTTGTGCATTTAGTTCAGTTATGTTTCCACAGATAGCAAAAGTCAAAGCAAAACTTCCAGGAAGATCACAGAGCCAGATTGATTCAAAGTTTTCTATCTAAGGAAAACCAGCTGATTGCATCGACTCATTGATTCTTCAGCAATCCCTCA